AACCCGCCACCTTAGGTGTATGCGGCTGGCGCCTTAGCCGGTTGAGCTATAGGCGCCGAGCCTGATCATATCTTTTTAATATTCTGTGACAACATGAGAAATATGTATAAAGCACTTCTGAATGCTTAAGTACAATACTTGTCTAGAAAAGCTTGTGTGATGAGCTGTGAGCTAAATTATAGCTATTGGAATGAAAAGCCATTTTTATTTAAAAGAACAGCTAGTAGACAAACTAAGTTACTTTAACTTAGATAATTTGGTAGACATTTTCTCACAAAAGAATGAACTTTTTACTACAAGGAAAACAACAGAGTTTATTGCCAATGATAAAATGTGATCCTCCAAATGAAAATTAAAATTTCCAGTGGCTCCCAGTAGCTAACTTCTTCTCAATTTTAAAAAACCTTTCTAATAAAATCTGTGAAATAAATGTGATTTTTAAAAATACTGTTTAATGAAATGTGTGAATATTTGGAATATCTACATAATTCAAAACACCAATTATTTTGCCAACAATTACTGCATGGTGTTACAATATGGAAAGATCTATTGATACGTCTTAGATCACTGAAAGAGTTATTCAAAGTACAAGAAAAACTAGTAATGAAAAATATTCACAAATAACTGAAGACTATTAATTAAAATACATTCTTCTTCCTTCAATTACCTAGCTATGTGGATTTTTTTCATATATTTCTATGAAAACAACATACTGCAACAGACTAAATTCAGAGATGAGAATTTATCTTAAGTCAGATATTAAAGGGAACTGCAAAATAGTAAAAAAAAAAATCCTATTCCACTCTTCTATTTTTTTTGGGGGGGGGGAACAAAGTCTCATTAGGTTGCCCTTGGTAGATTACTGTGGCATCATAGCTCACAGCAACCTCAAACTCTTGGGCTTAAGCAATTCTCCTGCTTCAGCCTCCCAAGTAGCTGGGACCACAGGCGCCCAACATAATGCCCAGCTATTTTTTGCTGCAGCTGTCATTGTTTAGCTGACCCAGGCCAGATTCGAACCCACCAGCGTCGGTGTATATGGCTGAAATAAATCGTACCCAGGCCAGGGAAACTGCTACCAAATCAAGATCATTGTGTTATGGGTGCCCAAGCCCCCTCTTCTATTTTTTTGTAAAAAAAAAAAAAAAAAAAAATTTTTTCCTGCCAGCACCTACGCTTTATTTGAAGATATTTGTATATTTTGAACATAATAATTGCCTAAAGTTACAATAAAAATATATTATCTATAGCAGTGGTTCTCAACCTTCTTAATGGATGACTGACCCACAGGTTGAGAACCACTGATCTATAGTAGCAATGCAATGGGTTTATTTTTATTTTATGTTCATTAATACTCTTAAGTTCTTAGTTTTTTTTTTGTTTTTGAGACAGAGCCTCAAGCTGTCCCCCTGGGTAGAGTGCCATGGCATCACAGCCCACAGCAACCTCCAACTCCTGGGCTCAAGCGAGTCTCCTGCCTCCGCCTCCCAAGTAGCTGGGACCACAGGCGCCCACCACAACGCAGGGCTATTTTTTGGTTGCAGCCGTCATTGTTGTTTGGCAGGTCCTGGCTGGGGATTCGAACCCGCCACCTTAGGTGTACGTGGCTGGCACCTTAGCCAGTTGAGCTATAGGCACAGAGCCAAGTTCTTAGTTTTAATTTTCATAAACTAAGCTACATAAACAAAGCTCTTTAGGGATACTCTTATTCTTAAGAGTGTGACAAGTACTAAAACCAAAATGTTTGACAACCTCTGCCATAAAGGAACATTATCATCAATATTTCTGATTTTTCAGTAGTACTTTAAAAACGATTCTTCCTACTGCTAACCAAGGGGCCAGTCTCCACTTCATCTACTGGGGGTTTTGTATTGATCATCCGGTTAACCTGTAAAAGATTATGTTCTTAACTGGATTTATGACACCATAAGGAATAGTGTATGGTATAAATAAAACTGTGTGGTACTGCATTTTTTCTTGGAAAGCGTGCATGTTTATGTTTCAGAAAACATTTTGTCAATGTGATGTTTTACCTATTTATATAAACCTTTCCAGTACCTGCTTCGTTGCATCGTGTCTTAAAAATTTCAAAGAAAGTTGGCCTCTCTTTGGATCCAACAGACATATTTATCTACCATATCACTCCAACTCTTGGGGAAAAAGTTCTGCAAAAGAGAAGACCAAAATACATTTCATAGGGATACATTCCTTGTTAAGTGACTCAGAAGTAAAAAATCGTTAGCGGTGGTTAAGTCTGCCTAAAGTTACACCCTAACTCAGTCA